GATTCTATCTCAAGTTATTCCTTGAACTAGATTCTGTCTGCTTACTAGGTACCAAAATATCTTTCAAGTACTTTTCCAGTCTGCCCACCAACAATATCCCTGTGACATGGGCTCCTACCAGTTCTGTTTGGTGCTTCTTAGGTCAATAGAACACTATCGCAATCATAAGTTTACAATTCTATGAGATTATTTGCAAAGGAAGAGACAACCCTTCTAGGCAACTCACCCTGCACTCTGGTACTTTTAAGGACAAAGTCATAAAAAATTTAAATTCCAATTTCCAAATGTAAGCCATCTGTACATAACTACTGATAAGGCATTCTTCTGTAACTAAATATTCATATAATGGTGTAATTTAATATAAATAACATGTAATTTCAAAAGCTGGTGTACATATCTCTTTGGTGCATGTCTCCACATTTTGTGAGATTTTTTTTTACCTTCTCATATGCCATGAAACATGGAATGCAAAGTAGAGCTTGCTGCTGGCAGAGAACGACAGCAAGAGTAACAAAGAAAAAATTTAGTAGAGATTCCAACTATACTGGGATACACAAGGAGTCTTCCAAGTCCCTACAGTTTCTTAGATTTAATTGTAAAATGAATGTAAATAAAGCCATATTTTATCAAAAGGTCAATGCATATTAGAGGGAAGCTGTATCTATATACTAAAAGAATATGTATAGACAACATAGGAACTAGAACACCTATATTCAGCAACAGGAATCACCTCACCTAATACAAACAGTGATCTCCAAGAACTTTCCTAATCTTTTTCTATGACAGCTGAAATTTTTCCCTTCATGCACTGACACTGTAATACCAAAACTTTTTAAAATTATAGCGAAGTCTACAAAATTTACCTAGAGTAGATATTTATCCTGTCAAATTAGTAAAAATTACAAATGGACACTATTTAAAAAGGGGCGTTTTTTGCAGATGAAGAAAGTAATGAACATTACTGTCACAGAAATACTTAGAAACTTGATTTTCACAACAGATCGTATATAGTGTTGACTGTACACAAAGCAGAATTAGTAGTAAGACTAGCTACGTAGAGGAGAAACATCTAATTGAAGTGAGCAAGAACCTAAGAGAACAGCTAGAACTTGTTTTATTTACTGGTATATTCCTTCCTACCCTCCTATCACCCATAAGTTATGAATTTGAGTGTTCATTTTCCTACCAACCTTTAACATGGCACTACAGTCTCACCTTAAGAGACAAAAGAATTGCACTAGGTCAATAAACTCTCATTGGGAAACCCAACTGAAAACTGCCACATAAGACTGAAGACAAAAGAGGACAAAGACAAGTAATCTGCTCCAAAGCTAATTATCTAAAGTCTATGAGCAAGCGGAAGAGGCTAAAGTAAGCAGTGCTGTCAAACATGATTCAGAAAGTAAAAGTATCTGAAGAACCGAAGTATGTAACTACAATTACTATCTCACCTCTGTTATATCAACTGCAATTGTGTAAGAAACAGACACTGTTTATTTTCAAATGTATAATTTTACCTCAGTAAGAGATGTGTAGGAGATGTTCCTCAGAAGAACAATGTACCATTATTATTACTTTTTTTTGTTTGTTTGTTTTAAATGAAGACAGAAGAACATAGTTTCTTCTGTAATACCTTCAGGGGAAAAATGGTTAGAAACAACACAAAAAATCAGAACAGTCACAAACAATTTTTATATACATGTGGGATATTTACAATTGTTTCCTTCCCACTATTGATGTGAATATGCAATTGTATTTCACAGAAGATTAACCAACAAATGCCATCTAAAAGAGCACTGGGCTGCTTTCTCTGCATACATATGGCCCAAATTATTTTAGTTGATTATGTGTAGCAAGCTAAGATCAGCAGGACTGAGACAAAAAAAAAAAAAACCCTCACTTTTCACTCTGATGCTTTCTCGTAAAGGTAGCATGCTAACTAACACTCAAAAAATAATTCATTCACAAAATCATGCCAGGAACAGATAAAGCTGGATCAGATGTCTATTAACTTCCTCAAAGGAACATTACATGCAGAAAGATACATGGGTTCTCATCCAGTCTCAAGTGTGTGAAGAGATGGAATTTCTTAAAACAACCTAAAAATTTCAACCTTATGCTAAACTACATCTTTCCCATTTTTATATTTTAAACAATCTTTTGACTTGCCCTTACCCTTACGACACCTTCTAGTTATGCTTTCTTCCCATTTTCTCTGGGTTCTACTTTCCCTATTTATCCAAAAAGACAACAGATTTATCTCCAGTATGCACACGGCAGCTTTCAGAGGTCTCCTCTCTCTGCCTCTTCTATTTGTTTTCCTGTTCTTAATTCTAGCTAATGATGGGAATTCTAATTCTGGCTAAACAGTTAAAGCTCCTAAAGACTTTCGAGACAGCTCCCAAAAATCTCTCTTGCGTTTTATCACAGTAACTTTACTCACAAGCTCCTATGGTGGTACATTAAAACTCGGACAGTAACTTTGATCAAGGGTTACAATTAACGAGCACTATACAAGGTCTATACAGAAAGGAAAACATTCTCTCTTGTGGCATTTCAGACCTATTTTTGCAAGCCAGTGACCTCCAGCTGTCACAATACTTACGCTCAGTTTTTCCCAATATCTTTCATGAAAGACTCTCATAGCACTAGGGCATGTTTCACTGCCAGCAATATTTCATAACAGGAAACTTCTGTCTTAAAGGTCTCAGCTTTATTTCCCAGTTCTTGAGGATGAATATCCAAATTAGAACATTAAGCAGTCTTATAGCCATAACGTTGACACTAAGATTTAAGTTCCACTATGCTGAAATGGTACAAGAATTACTTCATTTTTCCATTTCTCTCAAAGATTTTTTAAGAGGCCACCATGGAAGCATAAGCTACCATGAACTCAGTAGTAAAAAACAACAAAAATAGATATAAGAGACTTTACGAAAAATAAATATACAGTCATAATTTAAAGTTAGTACTAAACATTTGCCAAATCAGGTATCAGAAAAAGAACTGTACCCAATAAATGCAGGTTCATCATTATTTAATTCCAAGCAGACTTTTGTCAATAGCAAATAAGATAAGGGTAAGCAGATGCATCCAAAGAGCCAGTTCCAACCTCAACTGATTTAAGCTTAAAAAAACCCTAACACCATGTAAAGATGTAACTCAGTATACAGAGAAGTTCTGAGTTCTTCATGCACTTTATCCAATTCAGAGCACTGGTAGAAAAAAACTTTACATGATTTTCAGTTGATATTCAACACAGTATGATATGTGAAATTAAAAATAAATGTTCAATAAACCTGTATTTAAATAAGTGCTTTCTCAAATCACAAGACAACCCAGTTAAACATCTGAACTGTTTTTTATTGTATGAGTAACAATATCTATGTGGCACCACTCACTCACACACATCAGGCAATTACATGTAAATTCTTTATTTTCTTTCAAATATAGTCCTCCTGTGCAGATTGCTAGGTTCTCTTCTAGTTTGTTACCTTGTTACAATTAAAGGTAATTTTTTTGCTAAAGACTCTTTCTTTTTAAGTATCTAAAATGAATCCCACTTTACTATCAGTATTTTTTCCTATTAATTCTTGGTACAACTGAAGGTTTGAGGAGTTAACTGAAAATACAGAATTTATGTCAATATTGAAACAGCAAGCACCTTGTTTTAGCACAAACAAGATAAGCCAAAAACCAAGATAGACCAAGGGAATTGTTTTCTTTCTCCTATTCTCTGTTCTTCAAAAGTGTCCCTGCAAAAACATGTCATCTCTATTGCTGCAGATTTCCTGAGACAGATTTACAGAAAAAATAATCAAGCTATTTTATTTTCATATAAGAGCCTGAGACCTTAATTGCTGTGAATCACGACTTCCTGAACTTGAACAGGACTCATTTGTTTCAGGATAATCCAGCCTCCTGGCCTAGCCAGCAAAAAGTTTGATTAACTTCCCCTCTACTACTCAGTCATGAACAGCACAGTTTGGTCACGCCTGTTAATCTTTCAGTATTGTCTGCAGCACATGAATTGCAGCATGAAACAAAGCTGCCTAAACAGACCACAAAGAGCAGCACCAGAGAAATAACCTTTGTGTAGTACAGGAACAGCAGACATACACAAAATACAATCAGACTGTGAGAAAATAAATATAACATGAACCTCCGTGACAGACAGAAGGTGACAAAGCAAGGGAAAGACCATAGCATTCAAACTAGCATGGCACCAAATTTATCTGCTTGCTGTCTGCATAATAAGGACAAGAGAGCTCTGAAAACATACAGCAGGTTCTATAGCAAGAACAAGAACACTTTACTGCTACCTAGTGATGGCCCCCCCAGACCAGCTGAAAACAATTCTGTATTCCAGGAAAAGACATCAGACTTCCTCAGCTATAGAAATAATCATTATGATACTGGATTTTGGAAATAATAGAAAAACAAGAGGAAAACCCAAACATCTCTGCTTCTAAACAGGATTTTCTAGGTGTTCCCTTGAAGCACTTAGAGAAGACAGGAAAAAATGAGATGTTCATAATAAATGTAGGAAATGTAAATAAATGGCAGTATACTACATCCAGTCAGTGAGTAAGGGGAGGCAGAAGAACAGTGCAGAAGCACAAAAGTTTTAACGTAAATTGACATTAATTTAATGGAAATTCTGGTCTTTATCAATTTAACAGCATTTTTAGCCAGAAGAAACTAGACAAAAATTCTGCTTCCTTAGAAATTTGAACCATTCATTTGAAAAAACCCCCACAAATCAAAGAACTACAGCATAAATATAAATATTATAAAAACATGACTATTATAAACACAATTATTATAAAAAATCTCTTACTTCAAGTATCAGCTTCTTGCTTGATGCATCAGACATGAACAAATTTAAAGTTTTAAACCAGGATAACTAGAAGAACATTTCTTAAATGTTCTTCCCCAATTACAATAGTTTGTAGTTTCTTTATTTGTATGATTTTTTCATAAATACAGATTTTGCTTACCCGATGCTGAGTTCATGATGTTCTGCTGCACGGAAGGACTAGTGGGAGCTGTAACATTCATCTGGGAGAGCATGGCCTTCCTAGGATCTTGCCATGTTGTTGTTTGATCAATATGACTAAGACAAAACAAAGCGAGAGTTAGGACAGTCATGCATTCACAGCAATGACCTGCTCACACAGAAAGTTTAACAACAAAAAGTTAAGCCTGCCAACAACAGCCACATTCAAAACCAAACAAGAACGTCTGGATTCTCTCCAAGCATCACTGTATGTCAGATTCTCAAACCCTTACCCTGGCTACCATCACTTTCCCAACCAACAGCTGTAGCAATCAGAGCGGGAGATAAGGTTCATCATGAATATCGTAATCTAGACTGTTGTACCATAACTAGATGTTGTATCCTTGAATTAAACATTCTCTTCTCATTGATTAGTTATTTGCCATTTTTAAATGTGACTTCACAGACTTTCAAACAAAGCCAGTTATGTCTGGAATCTCAAGCACAGTCCAGTACCTTGGCATGATGAGTTCATATTCAGTGCTTAGGGAGTGGTAATGAGCTGGCTAGTAAGTAACCACTAGTCTTCCCAAACTTGCTGTGCATAGACCATGTCCTCAGATTATTTGATGGACTACTCCCCTCACCCCTAAGAACTGAACAATCTCTCTGTGGCAATTTAAGAAATCATTCACACTAAAGCAGTAATGTAAAAGTGATGTGCCTTTCAACTAACGTGAAAAGATGAGGACAGTGAGACTGCCAAGTAATCCACCCAGCCCTTTGCAGAGCCCAACTTTCTGTTTTGAAAAAAATGGAAAGCACATTCAGCACTGTCATTCATAAACGTATTCAATTCAATGAAAATACAAATGTGTAACGAATGATTACTTCACCTTTTGACTATGTGATTAGCATGTTTTGCTAACGAACAACAAATGTAGGTTATTCGTAACAAGCATCAATGCTATCTTTGTGTAATTAAGCAACACTGAGAAGTACATGTTGACAAAAATACAACTCCCAATACACACTGAACATTGACAACAAAGTTGGTTATCCATTCAGTTAGAAGTGGTATCAACTGAAACTCATATTCAGATTTCTTTTATCAATTCAAATCCAATGCATCATTAACTCAGTACCATTCTTTTCTTAGATTAATTATCCTTAAAATTAAGTTTTTCTGGATTACATGGAACACCCATTTTCATTTACTTCAGCAAAACCACAACATTTAAATTCAGAAGAACATAAAATGGGACAGTAGTCACCAAAACAATTACTGATACAGAATTACTTATTGCATTCTAATCACTGAAGGTATTTTCTGTTATAAGGTAGAACATACCACAAACTGGTTTTTAAAACTGTTTTAAGATATATATATTTTACCCTCTCTAAACACGCACATGAACAATTCCAGGTCAAAGAGTTACAGACACACTGTAGTAGAGTCACAATACAGCTCATTTAATACAGATATGTGCTGGTTTTGTCTGGAAGAGAGTTAATTTTCTTCACTACTAGCCCAGTGGCTAGTACTGGGCTATGTTTTGGATGAACGTGACTTCCCTCTGATTGTTGCACCAATGATTTTAACTGTTTGGTGGCTGGGTTTAAACCTCAGCAAGGTACTGTAAGCATACTGCATCTCTGGTTGTGTATGTTTTCAAATATTCCGCTCCACTGAGAAACATGCCACATACAGCATGATTTCTTTATTTCTTTTTTTTTTAGCCTATTTATTTATAAAACATGGAACAGCATAATAAAGACTGCCCTATATATACTGGACTATACATAAACCTTCATACTGGAGAACACTTTCTCACTTTTCTGCTGGTCAATTTTGCAAAGCAATGAAAACAGGTAAAGATAACACAGATGTAAAAACAGTGCACAGTAATGTTTCACACACCATGTGTTTAAATTATGGTACCAGCATGTGCTACTCCTCCCCTCCATTTCTGATTTGTTATATTTGCTCAACTCAATTCTGGGAATAGTGGAAACTGGGAAAACACCACTGGACCCATGATAACACATTCATTTATTTCCATTTAACTTCTATAAAAATCCATGTAACACTATGAACTTATGTCTACCTAAGGTACTTAATTTATAGCTTTTCTTTTTATATGCTATTTGAGTGTAGAGTAAGAAACAGAAGGAAAAGTTTTTGTTTCCCTACACTACAAAACCATTTTTTGCATTTAACTGTCGGAACACAGTGAAACAACATTCACCAATTTTTCAAAACAGATCTGAATACAGGATAGATGAATGGACTATAAAAGAAGCAATTTTAGAAGTACCTCCAATTTGAGCACAAGGAGAGCATTATCAATTCCTCAAGACTGCTTAAGCATACCATGCTTATAGTTAATGTTCATATGGAGTTTTTAACAAAGACAGCTATTTTAGACAGCAGCAGCTTCAAGCTTTTCCCTAGCTGAGTATCACTTGAGAGAAGTCAGCATGTTCCTTACTTGACCAACTAAACTCCAACCAGTAGTCATCGTAGAGCAAAGAACCATGAAAGAAAAGTCTCAAAAGTAAGCTGATTATATCAATATCATACTAATTATATGACTGTTTCAAGAAGGCAAACTCTTTTTTTTTCCCCTCCCACTCAGCTCTGTGCTTCCTGACCTGCATATCCATTTTCCCTACGCCTTCCCTCAAAACCTTTCTCTTCAATTTCCATCAAATCACAGTCCTTCTATGTATCTACCTGCTCCATATCCTGAGTGTTTGAATGCTATATACTAAGAAACCACCCAAAACACATCATGACAGATCAGTTCTTTTCCACAAATTCCAAAACATGCTCACCAATTTATGGAATACAAAGTAGGTAAAGCCCCATTCACATGGATGAAATGTTTAAATAAATCCTAGTACTCAAAATCAAATCGTGGCTAGGCTTCGCGAACGTTTGTTGCAAGTGCACTGGTGGCTAAAAAGGCCAAAACGAGACAGGCATGTCCGGTTGCTAAAGGCACAGCAGAAAGACTCCTCAGGTGGTATACTGTGCAAGGCATGAATCTTTCTGCGTTGCCTTTTCTCCTCGAGAGTGATCCTGCGTGCTTTCTCAAAAGCATCAGCAGCGTTATAGATGGCGTGTCTCCAGACCTCCTGGTTGGAGGCCAGAGTAGACCAGTTATGATGATCAATATGGCCAAGGCTGAGATGTTGTTTCAGGGAGTCCTTGTATCTTCTCTTTGGGGCTCCTCTCTTGCGGCAGCCGGTGGCAAGTTCACCATAAAGCAGGATCTTAGGGAGGCGGTGGTCCTTCATCCTGGAGACATGCTCTGCCCAACGGAGCTGTGTTCTCAGCAACATGGCCTCAATACTTGTGATTGCTGCTTGTTCTAGAACAGATGTATTGGTCACATAATCTGACCAGTGAATGTTTAGGATTGTGCAGAGACAGCATTGATGGAAGCGTTCTAGGAGACGCACGTGGTGGCGGTAGATGACCCATGATTCAGATCCGTATAAGAGAGTAGACAGCACTATGGCTCTGTAAACACTGATCTTTGTACTTTTCTTCAAGTGTTTACTTCACCAAACTCTTTTATGAAGCTTTCCGAAGGCACTCTATGCCTTTGCTAACCTGTTGTCTATCTCTCCCTCAATCTTACCATCTGAGGAGATGAGGCTACCTAGATAATTAAACTGCTGGACTGATTTGAGCACTGATTGGCCAATGGTGATATGGGGATGAAGGAAGACTTCCTGAGGTGCTGGTTGATGGAGAACTTCTGCCTTCTTTAAGCTGACTTCCAGCCCAAAGAGTTCAGCAGCCTCAGCAAAGCAGGATGTTAAACGCTGCAGAGCTGCCTCTATGTGTGCAACCAGGGCAGCGTCATCAGCATAAAGCAGCTCCCGGACAAGATGGTTGAAGGTCTTATTGTGGGTCTTCAGTTGCCTTAGGTTGAAAAGGCTTCCATCAGTACAGTATCGAATGTAGATACCGTCCTGATCATCGAGGTCTGTCATGGCCCTTTGGAGCATCATGCTGAAAAAGACTGTGAATAGCGTTGGTGCAAGAATGCAGCCTTGTTTCACACCGTTAGTTATTAGAAAGGGCTCGGAAAGCACATTGCCATATCTGACTTAGCCATGCTGATCCCCATGGAGTGAGATGATCATTTTAAGGAACTCAGGGGGACAACCTAAACGTTCCAAAATCTGCCATAGACCTTTTCTGCTCACAGTATTGAAAGCCTTGGTGAGGTCGACAAAGGTTACATAGTATTAGTGATGGTGAGCTGTCGCTCCGCACAAAATTCTAGCAGAAGTTGACCATTATCATTGCAGTTTCCAACACCATGCTTGCCTAATATTCCTTTCCATGCTTCAAAATTCTTATCTACTCTGGCGTTGAAATCACCAAGGATAATGATCTTATCATCTGCAGGCACCTTTTGGGTAAGGCGGTGCAGGTCAGTGTAAAATTTATCTTTTTCAGCAGAGTCAGCTTGGAGAGTTGGGGCATATATACTAAAGATAACAACGTGTTGCTTGTTGTTTAGTGGAAGGTGTAGGGAGATAATGCGGTCAGAGTGACCTGTCGGCAGATTTTCGAGTTTTGGAACAACAGAGTTTTTGACCATGAAGCCGACTCCTGAGAGTTGTTTTTCGGTTCTGGGTTTACCTGACCAAAAGAGTGTGTAACCAGCACCATGTTCTCTGAGGCTGCCTTCCTCGTGTAGGTGAACTTCACTGAGAGCAGAAATGTCAATGTTGAGATGAGCCAGTTCATGGGCAATTAGGGCAGAACGACGCTCAGGGTGTCCGCTATCTGCAGAATCGAGCATGGTTCTGATGTTCCAACATGCTAGAGTTAATTTAGGTACACCTTTGGAGGCAGGTGCATGCCTTAGTCTTTTGATCTTTGTGCAACCGCATTGGAAGAAGATGCCCGTTGGCCTGTATTTAACCAACCGGGTGAAGGTGGAGATGAGCTTTGTTTAGGCCACCTTTTCTATATTTGTACATTGAGATCCATGTGTATCCAGATATATTTGTATATTGAGATCCATGTGTATCCAGATATATTTGTATATTGAGATCCATGTGTATCCAGATATATTTGTATATTGAGA